CCTGTACAGGGTTGCTAGACTCCATGGCACATCACCACCATTACCACCAACAAAGTAGAGAGAACACAATTTTGCGCCAAATAATAATCCAAGCCTCTTCATGGGGTTTTTATAGCTCAAAATTCTCTCCTAGAAAACAAATGTGCCATCTGACTTCTGTGTTTTAAGTCATAGCCAACTCCTATTTTCACTATGAATCCCATTACTTAGTCCCATACCTCACAGCTGCTTTAAGGCATTGAGATTGGTTATACTTGTTATACTTTTATATAAGGAAGTTTCCCTTTGCAACAAAACTTAACTAACTTGTAAGGTAATTTATACAGTTTATATTTTATGGTCTTGGAGTCCTGGTGTAGCACTGCAGATTAATGTGCTGGACTGCAAGGTTAGTTTAAACTGCAAGGTCAGCAGTTCAAGCTCACCAGCCACTCCTCAGAAACCCTATCCAGGGTTGCTATGAGTCAGAACTGACTCAATGGCACTTAACAACAATTGTATGGTCTTACCTGAGGAAAATGGTAACAGAAATTCCAAATACATTTTCATTGATGTAGGGATAGTTTCACATGGGCTATGATATAAGTGGATTCCTGGTGTGGTGTCATAGGATCTGTACTGGACTGTGAACCACAAGGTTGGCAGTTCAAACCTACCAGCTGATCCTGGGAGTTGCTATGAGTTGGAATTTACTCCATGACACTTCACAACAAAAACAAATTATAAATGTAGGTTCTAAGAAAAACAGTTAGCTTAACAAGCATGCAATTAAAAACAGACTGATACTGAGTCCTTTTACCATCCAGGAATTTCTAGGTGTAGAAATTAAAGGTATCTGCAATTTGCTTTAAATTTTATACCAAACCCTCTATTTTAGGAAGAGAAAAAAAATTGATTTTCCTTCAGAATCAGAATGAAGTTATACGTTTAAAGATCTTAAATGCAATAATATTTGTAATTTGAACCAAATTAAACTGATCATTCATCAGTAAGTGAACAACTAACTAAATAATAATCCCCTGCCATCGAGTTGATTCTGATTTACAGTGAACATATACAGGGTTTCTAATCTATAAATCTTTGTAGAGCAGCTGGTGGTTTTGAACCAGCAACCTTGTGGTTATTAGCAGCCCAATGTTTAACCCCATCACCACTAAGGATTTTTAAATAAATTATAGTATATCTTATAGTTACACATAGGCATTGGATTAAGTTAGATACGTTTATATGTACACTGACATTGAAAAAATGTCCATAATATTTGTTAAGTGAAAAAAGCAAGTTATAAAATAATATGTATTGCATGACTCCATGTTCATAAAACCCCAGATAATAAAATCTATATATAGTTACACAAGTTTATAAATGTGTAGAAAAAGATCTGGGAAGAAATATTCCAAATTATTATCAGTGGTTAACTCTTGGAAGGAAAGTGTGAATAGGGACTTTTACTTTTTACTCTAGATGTCTACATTGCTTGGATTTTTACTAAAGAATATACATTTGTTTTGGAATTGGAAACATTTCAAAAAAGAATTAATGAGAATCAAGTAGTGTCTTAATTTAGATCTGCTTGACTTAACGCGATCTCATTTTATTACTAATGCAGGACATCAAGATGAAGTGTTCCTTTTGAGCTTGGTCATGGCGCCCTCTTGGGACCATTGAGAGAAAGTCAGAATATTACTATCCTCTACTCTTCAGTCCAGAGTCCTGGTGTGGCCTTGTGGGTTAATGTGCCAGACTGTAAAGCCATTTGAACTGCAAGCTTGGCAGTTCAAGCTCACCAGCTGCTCCTCGGAAACCCTATACAAGGTTGCTATGGGTCAGAACTGACTTGACAGCACTTCACAACAACAATTCCTCAGTCCACCACACGTCTGTCAGTATGTCGTACTGTGGTGGCTTGTAAATTGCTGTGATTCTGGAAGCTATGCCTCCCGTATTTTAAATACCATCAGGGTCACCCATGGTGGACAGGTTTCAGATGAGCTTCCAGACGAAGACAGTAAGAAGAAGGAGTGATGAACTGCTTCCAAATATTTAGTCAATGAAAACCTTATGAATAGCAGAGAAACACTCTCAGATATAGTGCCAGAAAATGAGCCCCTTAGGTTGGAAAGCACTCATTGGCAAAGTGGCAGTATCAATGGGCTCAAGCGTGGCAATGATAGTGAGGCTGGCCCAGGATCGGGCAGTGTTTCATTCTGCTGTGATAAGGTCACTATGGGTCAGTACCGACTCGATGGCACCTAACAACAACAACTACTTCTGAGTGCCTCCACTCATATGTCAGGTTGTCGTATTGTGGTGGGTTTGCATGTTTCTGTGGTTCTGGAAGCTATGCTACTGGTATTTTAAATATCAGCAAGGTACACCCATGGTGGACAGGTTTCAGCGGAGCTTCCGGATTAAGAGAGGCTGACTACTTCTGAATGTATAGCCACTGAAAACCTATGTATAGCATTGAAATACAGCCAGAAGCACCAGAGTATTGAATACTTAAACATGTTGAGTAACACTGGAATATTGTCAGATATCGTGCCGGAAGATGAGCTTCTCAGATTGGAAGGCGCTTAAAATATGACTGGGGAAGAACCGACTCCTCAAAGTAGAGTTGAATGTGATGACGTGGAATAAAGCTTTCAGGACCTTCACGTACTGATGGGCACAACTCAAAATGAAGAGAAACCGCTGTAAGAATTCATTAATAATTGGAACATGGAATGTATGAAGTATGAATCTAGGAAAATTGGAAGTTGTCAAAAATCAAATGGAATACATAAACATTGATCTACTAGGCATTATTGTTGTTAAGTGCCATCTAGTAGGTTCCGACTCATAGCAACCCTGTATAGAGTTTGCAAGAAATGGTTGGTGAGTTTGAACCACCGACCTTGAGGCTGAGTGCTTAACCTCACCTCCACACCAGGATTCCATACTAGGCATTAGTGAGCTGAAATGGACTGGTATTGGTCATTTTGAATCTGACAATTATATGGTTTACTCTGCCAGGAATGACAAAGTAGAATGGCATTGCATTCATCACCAAAAAGAACATCTCAAGATATATCTTGAAATATAATACTGTCTGGGATAGGATAATATCCATCTGACTACAAGGCAGATCATACATCTACAAGGTTGGTGGTTCAAACTAACCAGTCGCTCCTTGGAAACCTTATACAGGGTTGCTATGACTCAGAACCAACTACATGATACTTAAAAACAACAACAAAACAATTTCTTCAGTATGAAATTGACCAAGCATGCAATCAAGATGTATTGATAATTATTGATGACTAGAATGCAAAGGTTGGAAATAAAGAGGAAGGATTAATAGTTTGAAAACATGACCTTGGTGATAGAAACAATACTGGAGACAGCATAAGAATTTTGCAAGACCAATGCTTCTTCATTGCAAATACCGTTTTTTAAAAAAAAAACATAAAGGAAAACTATGCACATGGACCTCACCAGATGGAATACACAGAAATAAAACTGACTACATCTGTGGGAAGAGATGGTGGAAAAGCTCCAGCTTATTAGCCCAAACAAGGCCAGGTGCATATTGTGGAACAGACCATCAATTGATCACATGCAAGTTCAGGCTGAAGCTGAAGAAAACAAAAACAAGTCCATGAGGGTCAAAATATGACCTTGAGCATATCCCACCTGTATTTAGAGATCATCTGAAGAACAGATTTCTAAATACAGGTGGGATATGATGCATTAGGCACTAATGGCCAAAGACCACAAGAGTAGTGGGAGGACATCAAGAACATCACACTGAAAGAAAGCAAAAGGTCATTAAAAAGATAAGATAGAAGGAAAAGACCAAAATGAATGTCAGAAGAGACTCTGAAACTTGCTCTCCAGCATAGAGATGCTAAAGTAAATGGGAGAAATGAGAACGTACAAGAGTTGAACAGAAAATTTCAAAGGGCATCTCTAGAAGACAAAGTCAAGTATCATATGAAATGTGCAAAGACCTGAAGTTAGAAAACCAAAAGGGAAGAACACACTCAGCATTTCTCAAACTGAGAGAACTGAAGGAAAAATTCAAGCTTCGACTTGCAGGATTGAAGGATTCTGTGGGCAATATACTGAATGATGCAGAGTCACTGTACCAAAAAGAAATGGACAATGTTCAACCACTCAAAAGACAGCATATGATCAAGAGCCAACAATACTGAAGGAAGACATCCAAGTTGCATTGAAGGCACTGGCAAAGAACAAAGCTCCGGGGAATTGATGGAATACAAACGTACATATTCCAACAAACCGATGCAGCACTAGAGACACTCACTCGTCTATGCCAAGATATTTAAAAGCACTGGGTTGCAAATTAAAAGGCTGGTAGTTCAAACCTGCAGAGCGGTTCTGTAGGAGAAAAACCTGGTGGTCTGCTCCCATAAATTACAGCCTAGAAAACCCTATGGGGAAGTTCTACTGTCACACGAGGGCAATCTGAGTCAGAACCAACTCAAAGGTACCAATAACAACCTACTTGAATATAAAGGGGCTTCAACAAGTTCGTGAAAAAGTGGAATTAAAAGACAAAATATTCCATGAGGTTTTTTGAAGCCCCATTGTATTTTTTAGTTGTTGAGACCTCCTCAAAGATCATCCAGAAAAAACTTACCTAAAGAAGAGGTGGGTTTTGAAGATCGAGGAGGAGGTGGAGGACAAGGTCCAGGCACAGAAGCTTCCACAGTAAGGTTAAGGCTGAAGGTTCCATTGAGCACATACGTGTGATTTGAAATGTGATTGTTAGAAACAAAGACACCAGTATTATCCCCGAAGCTCCACTTATATTTAATGGAAGACTCATTAAGGAAGTGGCTAGGTTCATGAACCAGGACATCAAACATAATAGGGAGGTCCCTGAGGAAGGTTTCATCAGATGCATTTCGATCATTCTTCTGAGACATTATCACATATACAGGAATCTGATCTAAAAGATACATTAAAATAAAAAGAGAAAGAAAGCATGCATGATCACTTGATCCTAAGTGGAGGAATTCAATGATAGTATTAAATTTTAAAAATTTTTAAATTAAGGACTTTAACATCATTTTCCCTTTTCATGTTTAATTTCTCTAAGTTATAATGGAAAACACATATGGAATACAAATGTATACATTTGGAAAGAAGCCCAGGTAAATCCTGATAGAATCAAGAACGCTTGGCCCACTAACATGACCTGCATATTCTTAGTTTAGAGTTCATACACTCACCTGTTACCACATACACGTCCTTAACTTTGGCAATTCGAGAAAACATCCGCTGATGTCGTCTATAAACAGTCACTTCCATGAGTTGAGGGCCAAGTGTCACATTGGCTGTGTTTATAGAAACTCCCACTGAACATCGTCCCAATTTCTGGAAATACTGACCTTTAAGAAGATGGGAATTTTCCATTATTGGCTACATCACATGATCATTGTAGAAAGTTATTCTTTCTTGGAGACTAGTGACCACCATTTAGAAGAGATTGCTTTGGGGAGGGAGGAACAGTATGTGAATAGAATCCTGGCTGTTTCAGAAACCTAGTGCTCCTATGTAAAACCTTACAAAGTCACAAAAGTTCATGGAAAAACTGAATTAAAAGGTAATGGATTTTTTCCAAGAACTTTCTGAAGTCCCTTCGTATAAATGTAACTATATGTTGTTGTTGTTGTGTGCCGACCCATAGTGACCTTGTATCAGCTTTCCGAGGAGCAGCTGGTGAGCTTCAACCACCAACCTTGCAGTTCAAATGGCTTTGCAGTCTGGCGCATTAATACCCAGCGCCACATCAGGTGGAAAAAATTGAGTAATTTTCTTTATCAAACAAAGAAAAAAAGAGCTCAAATTTCCACCACCCCCCTTCTTAGTATAATTATTTAACCAGTAGTGTACTGGTTACAAATTGGCCTGCGAACCACAAGGTCAGCAGTTCGAAACTACCAGCTGTTCCGTGGGAGAAAGATGAGGCATTCTGCTCCCGTAAAGATTTCCAGCCTCGGATATCCTGTACAGGGTCACTATGACTCGGAACCAACTCCGTGGCACACAGCCAGCCAGTCAGCCAGCCAGTCTAATTATTTGGTGCCCTGGGGATTTGCAAGACTAACCAATATTTTATTTGAATCCTCCAGCCTCCGCTCACACTAAAAAAATTAACAGAGTAACTGTTGTTATATTCTAAGTGTTAAAATTCTCAATTACCTAATAAGAAAAGAGAAGAAGGTTAGAATTTAAGGACAGGAAGCTGTTCCAGATTGAACTGTGTCCCACAAAACATGTGCTGTAAAGCCCCATTTCCATGTCTGTGGTTATAATCCCTTTGGAAATGGGCTGTCTTTGTTATTATGCTGATGAGGCAGGATCCGAGTGGGGTGGCCTTGAGTCAATATCTTTTGACACATAAAAGAGATGAAACAAGCAAACTGAAAAGCAGAGGTGGGGAAAAGAGATGCCAAGCCAGCCACGTGAAGACTGCCGAAGAACTGAAGCCCCAAATGGACAAGGACTTTCCTCCAAAGTCTACAGAAAGAAACAGCTTCTCCTAGAGCTGGTACCCTGAATTCAGTTTCCTCGCCTCCCAGCCTGTGAGAAACTCAATTTCTGTTTGTTAAAGTCACCCTCTTGGGGCATTTGTTATATGGAAAGGCTAAGGCAGACTTAGAAAAGTCCAACCATGTAGGTAGACTATAAAGAATCTGTCTTTGTTTCTCCATCATGTGCAGTTGGTCTATGATAAGATCATTGGCTTTGAAAGAGGGGAAAATTGTTGTATAAGCATGCATTCTACCAAATATATTTTGGTGCACCCAAACGTGGTAAGAAATTATTTTGTTATTATGGGAACATAAAGATTCTGAATCACTCTTAGAATTTAGCAAGCAATTAAGGGGTCATTTGGGGCAGATAACGGAAGCCAAATTGATGTGTTGCTAATGATGTACTGATGTACTAAGCAATACTGACATATTTCTGTAATTGTTGAAGTGGATTGAAGCAAGAGATAAATATGGAAAGAAAAGAAGTTCTACCAAGTGTGTGGAAAATGTAGACAAAATTCCATTTCTTCCATCCTGGGGGGTAAGGAAAAGGTCTCCCGTCAGGGAAAACATTGTGATGGCTTTGGTTGGAACCATTTCCCCAGTTACTATCTTCTGTCCATGCTGTCCAGTTATAAACATATGGGTCAGGAGTCAGAGCAGTATCTAAACAGAGAAAGAAGCAAACCATGATAGTATCTGGATTCAGAATGCCCACTGATGAGGAACCTAAATCGAACACTTAAATATTTGTTCCTAACCAGCTTAAATATAGTCGGACAATTAAAATCTATTTTCCAGAATTCATCAGACTGTACATTTATAACTTGCTGACTTTTTTGCATATTTTATAAAATTTTTCCTTTATTACAAGGACTCTTTCACTATCAAAGTACTCAGATGTCAAAATTGTCACTTGAAACATTTAGAGGTAGGTCATTGTTTTGTTTTATTTTGGAAAAGAAGAAGGAAGAAAAAATGCAACAAAATATTAAGCATTAAACACTTTTAAAATAGGAAACCCTTTCCATACAATATGTGATCTTTTCCTCATAGGAAAGTGATACATTGATAAGGAATGAACACATCAACAATTAAACAAAAGTTCTAAAATAATAAAATATGGAAGTCAGACTGTAAGTGCTTTTAATAGTTTCCATCAGCAAAATCTCAGTAAATTAACTTTTTTTTTTTGTTTTAAGAATGTACAATATTAACCAGCTCATTTAAATGTGTGCATCTGTAGTTTGTAACATGTACAGAGAGCTTATCTGCTTTCACTAAGAACAAAGTAACACAAGATAGACTCTAGCATTTTTGCTACCATACAACAGTTACTTAATACTCATGAACAGAAATTAAAATGGTCGGCCAGCAAAGAATCTGTCAAACTGGCTATTCTTTTAGTAGTCCAAAGAATTCCAGGTAATAGAGCTATAATCTGAGAATCAATGAGGTATAAAGCAGGATATGACAACATGGCAGCTGAGAGCCACCAGTATGCTTCAGTAGGTCTGGCTGATGTCGGTATTGATGATGGTACTGGTAGAGCTGTAGTCTCAGCCCCCTGTCATGTAATTTGAGGAAGAGGGTACGAAAGGACAATAGCAGAGCCTGACAATTAACAGTAATAACTTGTGATCACTGAGGTTAATGAGATGAGTCACCAGTAGTTTTGAGACAAAACCGGTATTCTTGCGACATGAATAAGACTCCTTACCATTTCTGCAGTTCTTCTCATAGACTATGTTGCCATTGGCATCTTCCTTTTGGCATCTGGGAAATACCAGGTTCACCATAAATGTTATATTTGAGCCCACCAGAGCTGGGGAGTCACTGGTCAGGACTGCCTGCACATGGCCTCCTGAGGCGGGACAAACAGACATCAGTAATCAAGCATCACCTTCTCCTTTCATGGACAAATATTTATAGAAAAAAATTAATCTAATGAGGACTGTAAGATCCAAGTGCCTCTTTATAATACATTTGTTTTCTAGATTCCTGTTAACTTTGGCTTTCAGAGTACAACATTCAAGAAGATGAATTAAAAAAATAAATTAGACCAATTAAAGAATTCTCTAATCATGGAAAAGTAATAAAATCTCTCCTTAATTGAACTGAGAAGGCAGGTTTTAAAGATCTGTGATTTTTAAATCTCCAACCAGTCACAAAAGGACTCATTCTTTTATATAAATGGGGAGATATTTGCTTTCCCCCAAACTGCAACTATGAGATAGTCAATATGCTTTGGGTTCACAGATTGGAAGATGGTCATTCCTGCAGTAGTTAGGGTTAAGTAGTAGTCATTTTCTAAATTATTCTGCTCTACCAGACTGAAAATTTCTGAGGATATTAACCATTGTCCTGTGGCTTAGAAAGGGACACTGTTGGGATAGAGGAAAGACTGCCAAATCCAGGCGCCATCGTATTTGGTAACTAGAGTTACTTCAATAGGAAATTACAGTGGTTTGGGGTGAATCTTGTGGTTTACCTTTCCAACCGTTTTTCCACCGAGGGTCTCCCGGTTTCCACACTGGATAGAGCTTTTCATTCCATTCATTTTCATCTGAAGACCAGCCGTTTAATTGGTTGTGGCTTCCCACATAAGCAGAAGGTCTTTCATCACTCAGTACTTCATGGAATCCTAGATCAAAATTCAAAAAAAAAAAAAAAATCTATTCTATTCCTCATTTAGCAGCCATGATAGTGTATTGGGCTACACATTGGGCTGCTAACTGCAAAGTCTGCAGTTTGAATGCACCAGCCACTCCATGGGAGAAAGATGAGGCTTTCTGTTCCCGTAAAGATGTGCAGTTTCAGACACCCTATACAGGGTTGCTATGGGTCGGAACCGACTCGACAGCACATACCCAGCAGCATTCCTCATTTAGTACTTATCCAGCAGTAGTGACAGGGACATTCGTGACACAACGTTAGAAAGTGTATGTGTGACCTTTTCAATATATCAAGCAAATAGCTCAACGCCATCAAATCTGACTCATAGGACCCTACAGAACAGATGAGAATGGCCCATCGAGTTTCTAAGGTGGTAGCCTTTACAGAGCAGCTGGTGGGTTTGGACTCAGTAGCCTTTTGGTGAGTAGCTAAGCACCTGACCACTGCACTACTAGGGATCATTTTTGTCAAGTAAATAGAAATGATTTAAAAAAAAAAAAAAGGTCAGTTGGAAATATCTTCAATAGGAGCATCCAGACCCTATCTCTTTACGTACTTAAAATAAATCAAAGAAAAAAATTTAAAGCTAGTATTTCTTAGTCCTTATTTGGTTTCCCGATATATGAATTTATTAGTTGAATATTTGGTGTCTGATACAGTGCCCCTAGGAAAACCACGATGTTTGTGATATTCAAACCAGGTTTTCTGTTGACTCACTCAAAAGAATGCCAGACAAAGGAAGCACTCCAGAATCCTAAGGGGCACATACCTGGAAGTCCTGTTAAGCAACCTCATCTTTTAAAACATTTTTTAAATTTAAATGTTTCATTGTGAATTATGTGATAGTTTACATGGGAGAACACCAGCTCCACATTCATCCCATTGTACACTGCCTCACCGCCATGGCCACAATCTCCTCCACACATCACATCATCAAACAACCAAAGGGTATACTCTGCAAGCCTTCACCCCGGTCATCAGCACACAGCCCCTCTCCCTCTCTGGGTCTAGAGTCCCT